TCGACATTCCCCGAACTTGAATCGGCTAGCCGTAATCGCGTTTGGCTGCGCCGTCGCCGCGTTGCGGGTCAATAATACGACGACGCTACACACTGGCGTCGCTCTTTTCTCTCCCGTTATACCAACACCCGCGCTTCAGGTATACTAGAGTCAGCGAGTCAGAGAGTCAGATAGCAAGAAGAGTTAAAGAGAGCGAGAGAGAGAGAGAGTGAGAGAGGGGGGGGGTGAGCAAGAGCAAAACTTGACTCGATTTACACGACGATCGTCACAGCTTAACCCACATTGACCCCACGCTGACCTCTCGTTGATTAATGTATTTTCTTTCTGGTCTTGCGAGAATAAGAGGCAGGGAAGGGGGAGGGGGAGGAGCATGCTATTGATTCCATTAACCCACGTACACTGATGAACGCGGGGACTTAATGCTGAGATCGACGGTGTTGTACTCTTAAACTTTATATTTAATATGCCACTTAATGACGACAGCGCGACACGAGGTGCTGGAGGAGGCATGCGCAAACGCCTACGACCATGTCGGCCTTTTTCACGAATGCGATCTATTATTTTCCTGTAAATGGATCAGCCAAATATTTGGAGTCCACAATTGCCCTATCATCCGTTATCCCATCAAACAGACTGACCAGATCCTACTTGATTATGACAAGATTTGATATCGAACGTTCATAAAGAGTTATTAATTCTTTCCTTCCCATTTCTTTCTTTCATTAATTAATTTTGTTTTCTCCCAACGTCTTATAACACTTGCTAGTTGAAAATAAACGATCATAATAGTATTCTGACATTGAGTCTTTGATCTCATTTCATAACGAAACGAAATATTATAATTGTACAAAATGTGGTTGCTGAAGCGAGTATCGATTTACTTTATTGCGTCAATATGAAACAAATGAAAGGAATGATATGCGTTAAATTTTTAATTAAACAAATTATCAAACTATTAAAATCAATCCCTCGGTATATATATCATTTATCGATGTGTACTTAGTTTGGTCGAAAATTAAAGATTTTCAAGAGGCGGCGTAGTATTTAATGTAAAACGGATTACTTAAAAAAAAACTGAAATATACGATTAAAATAAATTTTTTAATTTTATTATACAAAAATACAATTTAATTAACTGAATAAACTTTAATGACATTACATGTGTATATATATATTTTGGTGCTGATTGATAAAATTGTCTGCGGAGTTTAGTTTTTGCTATATGAGATACAATAATAAGATTTCCTATTCAAAAGAATGCTGATATAGAGTGAAGACACGTAATATAAATTTTCATATACTTCTTAAAATGAAAAGAAATGTGAGATTACATTAAAATTACGGACATCGTATTACAAGACATATTGATTTATAAGCTATGGAAAGTTCGAATATTGACAAGTCGATTCATATATTGTGGTTTCTCTCTCTCTCTCTCTCTCTCTCTCTCTCGCTCTCTCTCTCTCTCGCTCTCTATCTGTCCATCTATCTATATATCTATGTACTATCTATCTATTTAATAATATATACACATACTGAATTAAGAATAATAAAATCTGGGCTAACAATAAGACCTTGACAGTACGCAATTCAGTAAGGTATTAAAATTTATTCCTATTAAATAGAGAATTTGTAGTTTTGTTATTCATAATTTTCTCTCAAATACTTCTTAGACATCTATAACCGTGTAAGACAAAATTAATATCACTGAACAAATATTGAAATAATTGTATACAAATAAAATTATTCATTTTGTTATATCGATAGCAATGTGACTTTTAATTTAAAAAATACTTTTAATATAAAAAACGTACAAAATTTTAAATATGTATTTAATTATGTATTTATGAAACAATATCTTTGTTGGAATATTTTTAACAGAAAAATATAGTTTAGTAACATGATATTTTTTACTGTTAGAAGTTACTTTTATATTATACGTGCTAATAGTTTGTAAATGAAATTCAAATTAAATTATCATCTTATAAAATGGAATACAATTGATTACATATAATAATAAAAGTAATTGATAAATTTATAAATAAACACGAATGTTTTAACTACTTTTATAGAAAATTTTATTTCAACTTCTTTCTTAATTAAATAGCAATTAAATTATCACTTCATATAGTCAAAATAAGAATAAATACACGAATGGAGATGTAAGAGTTATTTTTCAAAATTAATATGTATAAAATTTATAAAAATTTCTTTAATTTTACAGATAATATGTAAATAAATAAATACTCTGCAAAAAAAGATTCAAGTAATAAACGAGAAAATTATAAAACGGAAATTAGCATTATTGGCTATTTCAACATTATAAACAAATTTGAATAATTTCATTTACATCTTTCTTTTTATCCATAATTTTTAACAAATAATAAATTTTTTTCGCAAGGGAAGAAATTTAATTGATTGTATTAAAAAGAACCGAAAGATATGTAAATACTTTAATATTCCAAGAAATTATATCTTAACTGCTTTCTTTTTGTTTTATTATGAACTCTACCATATATCAATTAAATAGGCTACAGATATTTTGACAATGTCAATCTATTCAATTATCACTCGACAGTTTATTTTGTCTAAAAAAATGCACTTTCTGTTTGTGAAAGTGATAATATCAAAGTGCATGCACATCATATTTAACCTGAATCGCTGTGGACGTCCGTTTTGCGTTATCAAACTTCCTGTGCTCTCCTACACGTATAGGCGTACATACGATAAGTAGGAAATCGAGTTCATTGCCATCGATGACGACAGTGATTTACGTAAATTCAGATATATATATATATATATATATATATATATATTCATATATGAATATGAATAAATATTGAAGTAAAAATATTTCCAATAAGAATACGCATGATCATTGTATTTTTGTGCCAATTACGGAAGCAAACCACGTATATCCGACTTTCTCGCTTCCTATGATATCTAACTTGTGGTTTAAAGCTTCTTCATTAATTTTGCGGCTTTTTATTGACTTTTTTTTTTTGTTTTGCTTTATTCCATGTATTTCAGAGTATGCAGAATTTCTGCATTGTAAGGGAAAGAAGTTTGTGGACTTCGATGAAGTGCGAAAGGAAATCGAGGGAGAAACAGATCGTGTAACTGGTAGTAACAAAGGCATCTCCAACTTACCCATCAATTTAAGAGTTTATTCACCCAATGGTAAGATTTTTTTTTATTCAATTTTCTTCTATTCATTTAATATTACGTTAGATGATGATTTTATTCGAATTATAGTCGAGATATGGTCATTTTATAAAATATTAAATCCCTGTATATATGTATGCATTGAACAAAAAAAATGAAATAACCATCTAATATACAAAGAACATAATACATATTTAAAAATATATAATATTAAAATATTTTAATAGTAAATAATATTTATACCATATTAATGAATAGACGCATGCCCGTTTAAGTTACAAAAATAATGACGTTTAACATTAATATTTAATTATTTAATTATAAAATGCATATTATTTTCTGAAATGAACATACAGACTTCATTATTTACGAATATTAAGAAATTCCTACGATTCAATTCGACGTACAATGTTTTAAGTTACAAAGTACAGATTACTTTTAATAGTCGGTAATGTCTATCGATGCTTTTACATATTAAACTATTTAGCTAATATACGTATTAAATATCTTTGCAAGCTTTATTTTTATGCTTTGAATTTTTGTCATAAACAGTTGATATTACATTCAATAATAATTTATATCATCATACAATGTAATTAATCATCAAATATTTGATAATAACATAAAGCAACGATTAGAGAATGTGTTTGAGAAAATTTTAATTTGTTTTCGTATACGTTATGGTTAACGGTACATATGCAATAAATAATATGTCCTTTATTCCATATATATTTGTTGAAAAGTTAATTTTAATTTTGAAATTAAATTCAGAAAATTTATTATTAAAGTACATTATTATCGCCATGAAAATATATTAAAATCATTTCGGACTTGAAGCAAAATATACCCATTGAATAAATAATTAACATTATGTTACGAAGATACTTATTTCTGATTTCAGTTCTCAATTTAACTCTCATTGATTTGCCTGGATTAACAAAGGTGCCAATCGGTGATCAACCGGTAGATATCGAAGCCCAAATTAAAGGAATGATTTTTCATTTTATCAAACGTGAAAACTGTCTTATATTAGCGGTTACACCTGCAAATACTGATTTAGCTAATAGCGATGCTCTGAAACTTGCCAAGGAGGTCGATCCTCAAGGTGAAAAATTTTTAATTGTTTAATAATTAATTGCATTTTTTAATATACCGCTACATTCAATAAGAAAAATTAAGAAAGATAATTATTAGTGTAGATTATATTTTGTAGAAGAAAGTATCAATGTATACTTTAGTACAATTTAAATACGGAGTCCTACATTATTTAAATTATTTCCGTAGGTGTGCGTACTATTGGTGTCATCACCAAACTGGATCTTATGGACGACGGTACTGATGCTAGGGATATTTTAGAAAATAAATTATTGCCTCTGCGAAGGGGTTACATAGGTGTAGTTAATAGGAGTCAAAAAGACATCGAAGGCCGTAAAGATATCAAAGCAGCCATGGGAGCTGAGCGAAAATTCTTTTTAAGGTATCAATTATGTGTCAGGAGGAAATAAATCTTATTTGCTATTCTTAATTAATCAAATTAACAATGAGAAGTGCATTCGGAATAATGTGGCATTAAAATATTTCAGCCATCCCTCATACCGACATTTGGCTGAAAGGTTAGGCACACCATACCTACAACGAGTTCTCAATCAGCAGTTAACGAATCACATCAGAGACACATTGCCTGCATTGCGTGACAGGCTACAAAAACAACAGCTTGCTTTGGAAAAAGATGTGGAGCAGTATAAGCATTTCAGACCCGACGATCCAGCTATAAAGACAAAAGCGATGTTGCAGTAAGTCAATTCTTTGCTTGCTTTTTAAAGTAGTCAACCGATAGAGTTTCATGTTATTATTATGTGTTTTTGCAAGGCGTATTTAGTATACATAATAAAGTACGCGGTCACGCATACTTACGTATGTGTGTGACTCTATGTTTATAAAGGTGCGCGCATCCGCACGCGTATATAAATGTATTGTACCTATAGATGTTAATGACTATATATTTTCTCAATATTTTCATGCCTATCCTTATACGAAGAACAACGACGAAAGATAGATCACTTAATTATTAATTCACGATCTATTATAGTACTAAGAGTTCATTTCTATTTCTTTTTTAGATTACTTCTTTATGGGTGGAGGGTCCTGAAATTTTAGATATTTTTTTTTTGTTTTTCAGATCCGTTGAAATGTTTCTGTAGGTATTTTGTTTATCCTTATTTTGGATGCACTTTAACCAGTTGTGTGTTCATTTTACATAAAAAATATTAATCACTTTAGATCCGCTTTTATTTGAAAAGCTATGCATGTCTTTAATACAAATCGGCTAAATAATGATTAGTTTATAAAAATTCTATAGCAATTTAATATAGTAGATAAATGATATAAACATATAGAATAATAATAATAATAATAATAATAATAATAATAATAATAATAATAATGATAATAATAATGATAATAATAATAATTGTAACTAGGTAATACCGATAAAATTAATTGGTAGAATGTGTTGCTTTGTGAAGTAGCCATGATTTTAAGAAATTTTAAATATAATATTTTGTTTATTTTTCAAATTTTGTCAAAGACAATAATAATCGAATCTTATATAATTTATCAGTTTTGAGCCTATAATCATCTGCAATAAGGAAAACCTACAATTTTGAAAAAAGTTTAATTTATAATAAAATGTCGATCTTCTCTTATTAGAATTCTTTATGCGTAAATGAAAATAATTTAGGGAATTTCAAATAATTAATATCATGGCTCTCTACCCATACTATTAACACCGACTAGACGATTTTCTTCATCCGAGTAAATAAAGTAAATCATTTTTAAGGATGATACAACAACTGCAGTCCGATTTTGAGAGAACGATTGAGGGATCTGGTTCAGCACAGATCAATACAATGGAATTAAGTGGCGGTGCTAAAATTAATCGATTGTTTCACGAACGATTTCCATTTGAAATTGTTAAAATGGAGTTCGACGAGAAAGAATTGCGCAGAGAAATTGCTTTTGCCATTAGAAACATTCATGGTTTGTATTACTTTGCTTTATCAATACTTGGATTATCGTATAATTATAACTTAGTTTTATGAAAATAGCATAATTTTCAATAGTCCCCATGAAATACAATCGATGAAATAAAATGTTTTTTTTTTTTTTTTTTTTTTTTTTTTTTTTTTTTTTTTTTTTTTAATATCAATGACATAATCTAGTAACAATCATACAAAATCTTACAAATCGAATTTTTAACGAACTTTAATGTCAATCCATAGTATACAGTATTGAAGATAAGAGATATATAAACTTTTGCAATTTATTTGATTAAAAAGGTAGGAAATCTTTCTTCTAATGCAGTATAAGAATCTACAATCTCATGTACAGTGTAAATACAATATAGAGTATTTTTTTAATTTATCAAAATCTATTTGAAATTCTAGGTATTCGAGTCGGTCTATTTACTCCTGATATGGCTTTCGAAGCTATAGTAAAAAAACAAATAAATAGGCTCAAGGAGCCTAGTCTGAAATGTGTGGACCTAGTCGTACAAGAACTGAGCAATGTTGTTCGTATCTGTACAGATCGGGTGAGTTAAAAATTGCACAAAAAATTTGGCAATCCGATTGTTGCACGACTAATTCCGAACTATTACTAATGATGTTTTATTTAATACTTTTGTCCTTATTGCAGATGTCACGGTATCCCAGATTACGCGAAGAAACGGAGCGCATTATCACAACCTACGTTAGGCAGCGGGAACAAATGTGTAAGGAGCAGCTTATCCTTTTGGTCGACTGCGAGCTTGCGTATATGAATACTAATCATGAAGATTTTATTGGTTTTGCAAAGTAAGTCCACATTCCATTCCATATAAAACTTTCTTAATTAAACGATTAAGAATATTTTACTTACATTAAATCCCAAATAAGTAGTCACGCACATCTAATAATCTGCCCTTGTAATTTAGATCTGATATCACGGATACATTTAATTTAACGCACATGTAAATTTAAAATGAAATTCATCATATTTTATTTGCATTGTTTCAAATATTCCTTCTCTCAGTCGGTAAAAATCATGCTACGAAAATAAAGTGCTAAGCATTTACTTTAATTTTGCCTTTTTAGAATTTTAGAGTATTTACGCAAAAACTTATTTTCAGTTTATCCAAATAAAACAAAACAAAACAAAAAAAAAAAAAATAAATAAAAATTAAAAAAAAAAATAGATGTGAAAGATTTTTCTCCTCCAAAGTAATGATTTCAGCATGATTGTGTAGGAAAAGTATCTTTCAATGAAGAAATAATCATGATAAATTTAAAATTCTTTTATTAATAATTTGCACACATTATACTTGCACATTCAGCTTAGCGGCAACTATTATACTGAAAAAATTTTAATATGTGCAGCAATACACGAAAATCCTTGCACATTTATTTTAATTTCCGTTAACTAAATGATGCATGTCCTGCCACGTTGCTTGGTCATCTTTGACTTCATCTATCCTTTTTATTTAACGGCACATTTAGATGCACATTTCTCTAGTATTAACTTGTCCTTTATTAGTAATAAATTCACTCCTGATTGATTGATTTATTTATTTATTATTTTTTTTTCTACAAATACATGTTTATTTTTAACGTAGAGATTTTATTATGCTATTTTTATGGATAGTTTGATAAGAATATTAACCTTACCAATTGTTTAGCTTTAATGATATATCGAGAAAGTCAATTTTTAGTTACCGACCGAATAAAATACAAAAGACAAATTAAATATCTCTCTTTATTGCATTTGTTTTTTTAAATAATAAAATACTCATAAAATAAAGAAATAAGATAAAGAATAATATCGATAAGAAAATTCTTATTATTAGATATTTCTGTGTATTTATATATATATATATATATATATATATATATATATTAATGACGTTTTTTATTGGAAGTCGATAACTAATCTATTTATTCTCATAATTATAAGTTTATAATGGATAGGATGGCTTTAATTTTCAATAAATAAAAAGTTATTAAAATTACCAGAAGTTCAGAAAGAGAATGTAAATGTGCTTTCTTAATTGAATCTTTTTTAATGGAATCTAAACAAAATTTTGATTATACTATACAAAAAGTAAATAATTGGCCGTTGTAAATAAGAATGATGTTTTCTTTTTCTGATAACTTTCGATCATTTTATATTTTCTATGCTTAATTAATTGAAACCTTATAACATTTCATCGTGTTTTCACTAACCATTGTTTCACTTTATCATGTCAATCTTTCTATTTTCATTGCCCATGTTGTACTTCACAAATAAAAACAATGATTTAATTACACCGGCAGCGCGGCGGCCAGTAGCCATAATGCAAGGTAAGAGAGCCGATTAAACATGCATCAAAGTCGGAAAATTGTCATTGCGACTTTTTATTTTGCCCCTTTTCTTATTTCTTGCATACATACTTCATCAACCATATTGTATTCAATACGTTCAATTTTTTAAACATAGTTATTGGTTTTCTATGTTATTTCTTTTTTTTTTTCACGTATTATTTCATGCATTAATTATTAGAAAAATTTTGGTTTACATTTGTATGGATAATGGAAATTAAATTTTAAAAAAATCATTGTTTATCGTTACTTCACGATTTCTATTGACTATTTTTGGAAGTACAATTTAAATTTTTATTTTCCTTATTCTCTAATAAATTAACTATTATTTCGTAAAATCTTATTCAATCGTAGAGTAATGGAAAGATTATTATTACCGATTTTTCATTTTTCGTTTTTCATTTCTCTTAATTTGAGTAGATTGATTTGATGTGTTGATTGTGCATTGTATTTTTATGGTGCGAATGGAGCTTTATTATATTTATTTGATTGTAAAAATGTTATTAGTCATTTGAAACGTGATTTGGCGTTGAAAGTTGTAAATTAACATGTACATTCAACTATTTTATAAATAATATTAATTAATTTTATTTAATTTTTAATTATAATAAATATGTAGAGAAATTGTATAAAATATCAATCATAAAGTAATAAATTTTTCTTCTATTATTATTTGTAAATGTTTTGTAATAGAAACGTCACTGTTATAATCTATTTTTATAGTCTTAGATTTTTTTCATTTATGTGGTTTTCGATTTTTGAAAAAAGTCTGTAATTTTTTAAGTCTCTTTAAGTTATTAAGAATGGTACATTTATGCATAATAGTTTTGAAATTATTAGGCTTTTCGAAATTTAATAGAAAAGTAATAATTTATATTAATTTGTATCATACAAAATAAGAAAAATAGAAAATTGATAAATTTATTATTTAAAAAATATTACTTTACTATAAATTAGTTCTTCATAATTTTCTGAAAAACCAATTTGTTTTGAAAAAGTTTACTTAATCTAGACATTAAATAAGTAATATTATTATAAATTTCTTATATGGAAATATAAATACTTAATTTATAATTTTGAAATATATAGAGATAATTTTAATCATTTTTTTACAAAGAGAGAGAGAGAGAGAGAGAGATAGATATTCTATATTACAATTTAACTTTCAGACACATATTTTATAAAAAGATATGAAACGATATTTACATATATGGTACTGATAATTAAAAATTGTTACCTAATGAAAATAGAAATTTTCCAAGTTGTAAAATTGTATTTTCTAATATAATTTAAATTTGGAGGTAATAAAACAATAAAATGTCTATTTTATATCAATGTAGTTTATAATTTTATATACATAGATATATTAACAATGTCAGCATTAAAATATAATGAAAAAAGTTAAGTACATGTGTCTCGAAAAGTTGTTGGAAAATATAGAATTTTATAAAATTATTCACAAGAATTAGTTTGAGCATCATTCTTCGTAACATTCATAAAATTATATTTTTGCTTGATTTTACAGCTTTTAACAAATTGAATATTAACACATAAGGCATGGCTACGTAAACGCGTACTGTAGAAATCTTTTAGCTACACTATCAACACAAAAGTGCTTTTTAGTCCAAATTTAATTTATTTTTTTTTTTATAATATCCTATACAGAAAAATAACTAAAATAATTCAAATAAAAAAAAATATATATATATATATATTACATTGTTTATAAGAATGTGCTTATAATATTAAATAATAAAATTTTATTGATTTAAATAATTAATATTAATAATGCTAATTTTTGATAATAAACTTATTATTACCGTGCTTTGAAAAATACAAATTATACTTTTGAAATTAAAAAGCAGATTAAACTTTTTAGATTAATGAATAATCTGTTAAGAATCTTAGTGAATGTAAAAGAAATTTACAATAGCTGTTTAAATTTATATATTGATTTTTAACCATTGTTATAAATAGTAAATGTTCTTTTTTTTCTTTCCCTTTTAATCAACTGTCTTTATCTTTTCTATCATTTACTTAAGTCTCTCTCTCTCTCTCTCTCTCTCTTTCTCTTTATCTCTCTCTCTCTCTCTCTCTCTCTCTCTCTGTATTTTTCTCTTTTTGTCTCTGTCATTTTTCATTTTCTTGCTAGTCTGCAGCTCATATTGTAACCAGTACTGGAATAATTTGACAATGACAGTGCGCGCAGTCTCTACTCATCGCTATGCTTTAATATTCATCTTTAACCGATCTGAGAATTCACAATATAACGTTCTTTCTGTTGCAGCGCTCAACAATCATCGGAAAATGCCGTGAAGGCAGGCCGCCATACCCTCGGCAATCAGGTCATACGCAAAGGTTACATGTGCATACATAACCTTGGCATTATGAAGGGAGGATCCAGGGACTATTGGTTTGTTTTGACATCCGAAAGTATCTCATGGTTCAAGGACGAAGAGGTATTTTTTTTTATTTCTCCACTTTCTTTCTCTTGATTGAAAAATTTATTCTTTAATATAATTTGTAAATGATTTTGCACGTTGTAATTTCCGTATATTTATTATTATTGTCCGCTTATCTTTAAAATATCTTTAGTATGTTAATTCGTTAGTAAAAATTAGAATGTAACAAGAAGAACATTTTTACAATAAATATATATATATATATATATTTCGTCGATAATGAGATAAATGCATGTCAAATTAAATATTAAAGTCCTACAAATTTATATTATAATATAAAATAAGAAAGAGCATCAATAATAAAGCATAAAAAATTTACTCAAGAGTAGAGTATATCAATAAATAGACAACTATTACGAAAATTTTATTCCCAGCATAAAAAGATGTTATTTATATTGTATATATTATTCTAAAAATAGAATATAAGTTAAAATAACAAAAAAAAAAAAAAATTTTATAAATGTTCAAAAAACTCATATTTTACTTATTTATGTTAATATACATTATTTATGTTATTGTATAAAAGATAATCACCATTAAATCACTAAAGGAAATACTTTTTATTTATCCGATTCAAGCCTTATCTATTTTAAGTTTTTAAAATTGAGTTTTATATTTTCGGTTTTGTAAATAACTCTTAAATCAATATATTAAAAAAAAAAAAAAAAAAAAATGTAAATTTATAAATATTTTTTTATGGTATATAAAATAAAATTTAAGCTAAAATAGTTTGCAAAAATATTTTACTGAAGATTGTTGAGAAATCAATTAAGTATCGATGAAAATGCGTACAACAATGCTACAAAAACGAATTTAACGGGGATCGTAACTTCTTATTAAATTAATATAAATTAATGATTTTTACAAGTTAGAAGCTTATTATAGCTTTGTCTTTTCTTTTCTTTTCTCTATATCGTTATTTATAGCTCATAATTTTCAAATCCAACACATTTGTACTAACGCATTCGATTGCTTGTGTGCTCTATTGCAGGAACGCGAAAAGAAATATATGTTGCCATTAGATGGATTAAAACTGCGAGATCTTGAACAAAGCTTTATGTCTCGTCGTCATCTATTTGCATTATTCAATCCCGAGGGCAGAAATGTTTACAAAGATTACAAGCAACTTGAATTGAGCTGTGAAACTCAAGATGACGTTGACTCATGGAAAGCATCTTTCCTTCGCGCTGGTGTTTACCCGGAAAAACAGACAGAGCAAGCGAATGGTGATGGTGAAGTAAGTATGCTTTAATCAATACGAGGCAATTTACAATAAAATAAAGAGAAACTGAAAGTATTGGACCTTTAATTAAATTGAAAGAATATACGGAATAATGTCTGTCGATTAATTTTTGCATTTTTTCGAGATATATTAAAGCCTTGATTTTCCACTGAAGATGAGAAAAAAAAAATTAAAAAAAAAATAGAAAAAAAATAGAAAAAAAAAGTTTGATATCCTAATTGAAAATCATGACATTACTTAGTAACTAAAGAAACGAATGAATTAAAATATATCATAGTTTTAATCTTTTAATAATTACGTATTAATAAATAAATCTTTCTTTAAAAGTAAAAATATAAATAATTCACTGTTTGTTCTTACATTTCATTTTATTATGAGAATAGTGAAATAATAAAGTTATTTATACGTATACATATTCATTTGGTAAATTCAATTTTATTTGTATTTTTTATTTATTTATTTTTTTTTTTTAGGATCTACTGGTGAGTTTAAAAGTAATTAGAATTTTAATTATGGATTTGAACAAAAAATATTATATAATAATCGAGTGATGGTTTTATCTAACAAATATAAATTAAAATCTGTAGATAACAATAACTATTATTTATAAGAATTTAACACAAATTTATATAATCATGTAAAAATATGTTAATATTAAATTTATTCTTTCCTGAAATCGTGTCATCTAAAGGAAGGCTATGAGGTTTGTACAGCTCGGAAGTTTTAAAAATAATTCCAGAACGTAGTACACATTACAATGAACAATTCGATCTTTCTTTGCACTGCATATTTTATACAACTACAATCTCCTATAAGAAACGATATAGAACATAAAATTGTTTTGTTATTTTATCGATTGTATATCTGTGCTATTTTTATCATTTTTATTAATTATTGCTAGTTTTACTTGTTTTACGTACACTGAGTGATTTGTTTTATTTTTAAAGAGATGTTAATGTTTAAGCTACTGACACCAAACCGTTCGTTCAATCAGTCAATTAGAATGAATTTAAAGATCATTGTATAACGCAGACGACATTGCATGCTCATATAATACGTTACTATTATTACAATTTTATGTAAAAAATATGCCATTTAAAAATGGTCGTATTTTCGTAGTTATTAATTTTTCTTTTCAACTTATATTTATATAAATATTAACCCACTATTTTGGAAGAAAGGTGTATTTTCCATCTACAATTAATTTTATATCGTTATACACACTTATATGAGTCAAATAACAATATCTTCAATTTATACTGATATAGAATTACGTATTTTATATAAAAGCTTTCTACCATTCATTATCTTGTAATTTATAATGAGTTAACTTTCATTTGTCACAATATTGTAAATATATTATAAAGTTGTAATATAATATTTATATTGATATATGAGGAATTTTGTTATACTTCTTTTAATATATTTTTGAATTTTATTTCAATAAATATAATACGTAATTTTAAGCAATTATAAGATATTGCTCATATAATTGTTTATAATATATTAACTAAAAATAACAAGTAATTAAAAATGCAAGTATTATGAATTTATGAGGGATGTATATTTTTATAGATTAATTAGAATATTTTAATTTATTAATAAAATCTTCAGATTTTAATTCAATAACTCCTTTATGATTGTTGAAATATAAAATCTGTTGATAGCACGATATTTTTGTTCTATAAATAAATACGTATTGTAACGTGCACATTTAAGTTTAGGATCACGAGAAATTGTAGAGCACTGATAGTTTTAACTCCAATGTGTCAATTATCATATATTAGATCTCCTTATATAGTCCTACAGTATTTGTAATGAATTTCATGCCTACTTAACCCATCGCATCTTACACATCGGACAAAAAATATTGAATATTAAATCGATAATTTTCTATGAAATTAGGGTGGCAATGAAGCTCAATCATCAATGGATCCCCAGTTGGAACGTCAAGTCGAGACGATTAGGAATTTAGTTGATTCTTATATGAAAATTGTTACAAAAACTACTCGAGATCTCGTGCCCAAAACAATTATGCATTTGATCATAAATAATGCCAAAGACTTTATAAATGGTGAACTTTTGGCACACTTGTATGCAAGCGGTGATCAGGTAATTTTAACATTTCCTTTCCCCCGATACACTTTGTTACAGCTTAATATAATTAATATGCGAGAAACAATATACTGAACATTCTAAATGTTGAATTTCATAGTCATCTATGATGGAAGAATCGCCAGAAGAGGCCCAAAAACGAGAGGAAATGCTTCGTATGTATCACGCTTGTAAGGAAGCACTTCGAATAATTGGGGATGTTTCTATGGCTACGGTGACGACGCCGGTACCTCCTCCTGTAAAGAACGATTGGTTGGCCTCGGGTGAAAATCCAAGGTGAAACATTACTTTGTATAAATAAAAATATTTTTTAATTTTAACTAATTTACTATTTGCAACTTTCTTTCTTACTCTCTGCTTAACTCTGCAATGGTTACAGTCTTGGGTAAGATTTTCTTTTATTTTTCAATTCATCCGTCGCATTTGTCATAAAGATTTTGTTTAACGCATGGTAATTCTTATATACATATATATATATATATATATATATATATATATATATTTATTTATTTATTTTACTTGTATAAATTCTTATAATTATATGTATATTATGCATACTTGTCGTATAGAGTAATTTAAATAAGTTCTCTTATTTATGTGAAAATGTTATAATATATCATTTATGTATACATAAGAAAGTAAAATAAATATTTTAAATACAACTCTTGCAATTGCTCGTGTTTAATTATTTTAATTTAAATTATTTTATTGCTATTACAGAAGGAATATTTATAAAAGTAAAAATAATATTTTTGTAATTTACGTGCCAAACAAAATATTTATGCACAATTTTAGCCTTTCAACTCTTGAATCTTAATCCAAAACATATATTAAATGGCTAAAAAACGAATATCTTTTTGTTCTTACAAATTATAATTAAATGGATAATTAAAGTTTTCAAAAAAATTGTAAATTGCGTAATATTAAATTAATTTAGAATGTAGTATTGTAATTTTCGCCATAAATACTTTTATAAGTAATAGTCTGTATTGTATTTCTTAAAATTCTTATGATTCTGCTGCATATTTTGTATACTTCTTAAATTAGATGGAGCATATTTTATAATGAAGCCCCATCGCTTAATATAATATTTAATATTTCAGCTAAGTGACTAACATAAAAGACAAACTGTGAATTTCATGCTTAAAATAGTTTAAAATCATCAAATACGATTTTCAATAATTGAAAATATGATTGGAAGCTCAAGTAACAAGTATACAGATACAAATTTCTCGAATTACACTAGAACTGCTTTTTAGGATCTTATAAATATAGTTCGTTATAAATAAAATAATAAATCTCGTTTTGCCCTTCATCTCGATCGAATATGATCGAATATGATAGCCTTCGTATTTATATCGTTTTTATCGTCAGGCTTTCACCACCATCACCAGGCGGTCCTGGAGGACGTCCCAGAAATGTAGCACCACCACCTGCAAGTACCAGGGCACCACCACCATTGCCAGTAGGTGGCAGACCAGCTCCGGCTATACCTAATAGACCAGGACCCGGTGGTCCACCCCCAGCCCGAACTAACTCTGGTGGCGGTTTCTTACCATCTCCGCTAATACCTTCGTAAGTCATTGTATATGTTATTCAGTTTTTTTTTCTTTTTTTTTTTTTTTTTAATCGGATATTTATTGATTGATATTTTTAATATTTACTAATAAACTATTATTTTCTTAAAATTATTACAAACGTTCTTATTATGATGTTATGCATACTCGTTGATCGACATATTAACGCGTTCATATTTTTGTTTGTTTGTTTGTTTGTTTGTTTGTTTCTTTTTTCTTCTAATTTTTTAGAGTTCGAACATCTTTTCTTAGAATTCCCATTATAATATAAGCATTAGTGGATATAAATATTTGAATATATTTGCTAATAATTTGATGTAAAAATTCTTTTTGTCTATCAAATAAATATTTTAATTAATCATTCTATTAAATGAAATTGAATTGAAATTAGTAAAAGTGAAATTTTAATTTATCGTATTACATTGTTAATTTTAAGAAAATAATGGCTAATCACAAGTTTTTATAATTGCATACTACTTTTCCATTTATTTGTCAAAATTAAAATACATAAAAAATATAAAATATCATTAATTAGTTGGAATTATGAAAGTAACTAAGAGAAAAATTACATTTACTTCGCTTAGATCTTTTATTAATATTTGAGTTCCTTATATAATTAAGGTTTGGTGCTAACTTTACTTTTTATTGCAGGCGCCGACAATAAGTCTACGCACTAACACCTAATTGTTACTAATATCTACACATATACAGATATACCGATATACATACATATAATATGTGTATCCATATATGTGTTTATGTATATACGTTACATCTAGCTGAGAAAATAAATTAACTGATGCATACCTATTTCGGTGGAACTGGTATTTTTATCCGTATACAATATAATAAATAAAAAATAATCATGGCATCATTGTTAATTTGGGGTGTGCAATAGAAACGATTGCTCGAATACATGCAAATTAAATTAGCATTAATTTATATTTTTATTATGTGTAAAATATACAATGATAAAAATATCAATTGAACTTACTAATTATTGTGGTCCAAATATTGTACTTTTAAAAAATGACCAATATTCTTATTTAAATTTTTTTTTTTTTTTTCCTAAAATTATTAGCTGTCTTGGGTTAAATTTCATTTAGCTTTAATTATTATGAAGAAGAGATAAACATTTAATAAAGTCAATTTTTCTAGATTAAAATTATATCATTTATTTACATTTCATTCATCAATTTGCACACCCCTGTCTGCATATCTGCGATGGTATCGTTCTCTAGTAATAGGAGGGATGAAATAATAATTTTTTATTATTGACATTATTATAGAAAATATGTTTGATGATTTTTCAAGTTTGATCAACGGATGCAGTACATTTCTTTGTTCTTTTGAAAAAACTAAAGTATAAAAAAAAAAAAGACTGCTTTATTTATTTTGTTTTTATTTTTACTTTCTTTTTTAATATACTTTAAGGGGAAAATATTGCCAGTAATATGATCATAGATAGTACTTGAAATTGTAAATGATATAATGTTCATAATTGGTAATGAATAATTATAGATTATTTTAAGCTTGTATAATTAATACAGATTTCATACTTTCTAACAGCATGACATTTCATTAGGTAATAAATATTTCGAAAATTTCTTTACTAATTGTTGTAAAAAAAAAAAAAAAAAAAAATGTATCGGATCTTACAGATCATTGTAACGGTAATAAGCGAGTACTCATTTATTATTCAATCGGTTAAATTAATTAATAGGTAATTAATTAAATAATAGATAATCATAAAGTTCAATAATTATAGAATGATATGTTTTCAGTATTTTTGTATGTCTCTATCTTTTGTTTTATTTAAATAATGCTTCTTTATAATTACATCGATTCAGAAAATCCGAATTAAACAATGAAACAATATATTAAAAGAGCGAAAAGGAAAGACATGTCGGTGCCTGCATATTTTTATTAAAAATCGGAAAAAGTCAAAATGTAATCCAATAAAACTACAAAAGTATAAATTTATTATTAATATATTAATAACTTAAAAATAGCCATGAAATTGGTTTGTATTTAATTATAAACTACTCAGATTCTATATAAATATATATCGCGGGAATAAAAAATATTTATTTTTGACAATTGTGAATATAGTCGAAAGTTAAAGGGTTTATTTTATAATAATAAAATATATAAAATGTTTAATAAATTGATAGGATGAAAATAATTAAAAATGTTAATTTATATTCATAAAAAAAAAATGCTCTACAATAATTAACCAATAAATTTCACAGACTTTTCAAAAACTTATACATTTATATATGTTAAGATTTTATTTATTTATTTTTTATTATTATGTCGTCCGCCATTTTTACAATAATTTAAGAAAAATTTACAAATTTTAAAATCATAAGAACTGGCAACTTTCTTATTTGCATTTATATATACTCGATTATTAAATTATATTTAATCTAACTGGTAAATTATGCAATAGTTTTAAGATTGTTTGATTAAAAAAAAAAAAAAAAAAAAAAAAAAAAAAAAAATAGACTTACATATTTATTTATAAAACTTGTGTTTAATATTTGTAATATTGATATTCTAAAAATACGTATATCATAGATATGTAAACATAAAATAATGTATTATTCAAATGATAACGTAGATGTACTTTAAAGAATTAAGTCAATTTACGAGTGTAAATAGTTGTATTTTATTTTCAAATAATTGTGTAAATTATTAATTTATGCGTAAAAAAAAATGCGTAGTAAAACGTAATTGAGTTAATTTTGTCAAATGGATAAAAATTTAATTGTCAATCGAATTGACTAAGAATTAATTAAAATTTTGCAAGTTTTATAAATTCATGTTTTAATAAGATTTCATTTTATTCTTTACAGTAATCAAACAATCTTAAATAAATCTGCTGGAACGAAACTATTTGTTATTTAATAAATGCCAACTAATGTTGTGTATTGTTATTATAATAAAGTGCATGTGCCCCAAGTTTCTTTGATTAAAATTAAAAATATAAAGCTCGCAGTTCTGATTGAGAAAATTTATGAATCAATGCTAATATATTGTTTCTTATTGTTAGATATTAATTTAACATTGAAGGTCGTTCGTTTTAAGATATTTGAAACCGGTTTGACGATCTGTTTTGTCTATAATTTTATTGATCGCCTTGATTTTAATTCAATTATAAAAGAAGATTATTTTATATTTCTTGTTAAATAATATTAAATTATTTATCGTCTATATTAAAATTTTAAAAACATAAATGACAAAAGGAAGAGCATTTTCATACATATCGATATTTGTATATTCATTAATTTAAGGAACTTAGGGTTGCAATAATGTAAATATAAATTGCTAACTCAAAAGAAATTACTTGGTTGCATTGATTAACTTTATAAATCACAAACAAGATTAAAATAACAGAGATCGACGATACGGGAAGTAAATGTCTAGTAGCATGAGTTTGTAGTTACGAAAAACGTGTACGTATGTTTAGTCGCAAGGTCGCAGGTCTTCAGAAAAAGGTCACTCAGGCAGCAACGCAGGCCGCCGCTAATGCCGCTGTGGACGAGCTAATGGACGCTTTCAAGACGAAGTTGTAATGCTTTTAATTCTTTACTTCCAATAATCACTTGCTCTATGTCCTTCTTACTTTCTCTCTTGGTTCATAGTAGATATTAACAGAACAGCACATTCGACAAATAGAACAGTCGAAGAAATACTAACAAATGTTATATAAATATAAAAAAAAAAAAAGAGAATGAAAATTAATAAAGGAAATGCTTGACACATTTTTAAGGAAACTTGGAAATCTGAGTTACCGATTAAGTAACATATCAAATATATATATATATATTAAAATGATAGTTAATTAATAGAAATAATAATGTTGCATTTAATACTATTGATTTGTATTACAGTATATTAATTATAATAAGTGAAAGAAAATTTTGCTTTTGTTATTTTTTTAACTAATTGTTCAAACGATACTTATGATAAATAAAACTTTTCCGTATTTTATTCAATTTAATTCGTAAATAGTGAGCATAGATTTTTTTATTTATTCTTTTACATTTTGTTATTCGTTTCATACAGTGTGAAAAAAAGTGTAAAACTTTCGTAATTAATTTGTTAAAGAGAAATTGCCAAGCGATAACGCATAAAAAAAGCCTAAATATTAAAATAATTTTCAGTGAAAATGAACCTCGTTAACATTTCATTAAAAAAAAAAATATTAACTAAAATATTAACTTAAAACTAAATCTTATGCTTGCAAAACTTTCTCGTTATGTAATTGCGTCCAATATTATTTTTATGCTTATTTGTTTGCAATATTATTACTTTCGTTGCAAAAAAAAAAAAAAAAAAAAAAAAAAAAAAAAAAAATATAGCATTATTACTTTTAATGTTGTTTAATGCCAATTGACGGTTTGATTAAGTAAGAACGTGAAAATTAATAAATTATTGACTCGTATAATTCCTATAATTAAAAAAAATTAAGTTTATCATGGTTGATAAATCGTAATACTGTTTTCTAATAATAATTTCCTATTTCGCTTACGTTATTACTATTATTATTAATATAACTATTATCATAATGATACTATGTATTATTATAGTTAAGAGCTTTTATAATATTTTTATTTCATAGCAATTTTGTTCGATGATAAAACGAATGCTTTAAAAATTGACATATAATACACGTTAATCGATAGAATTTGCATTTTATTAAATTAATGTTATCGAATCTCATAATTTATAATCATGAAGAAATCATGTTTATAAACAGTTCATATTTGCGTATGTATTTAGCAGAGACACATAAACTAACATGTGGCTAGTATTAAATTATCCAGGAGCCTAAAATACAGAGTGAAGTCGTAATATTAAAAATCCATCACATTACATGTCTTCGAACGAATAAATGTAATGACTTTTGCAAATATATATATTTTTTTTTTCTTTTCTTCATTTTGTTCATACTCTAATTCATAATGTATTATCTCGGGCAATGCATGTAGGTAATCATTATCGTCATTAATCGAAGTTTGGGTAAAGAATTACGTAAAGCTCATTCCTCATATACGGCCTGTATTCTAATCTTCATATTGAATTAAATAAGACGGAGAGAAAAAATAAAGCGAAGAAAATGAAGTTAATAAGCTTAGAAGGCTAACGGTGTATAACGGTCTTACGCTTAATTCTATAAGCTGCGCGCGCGCTCTTAATATTGCAGGATTCTGTTGCCATAAACAACAACAAGAATAATAATAATAGTGAAAATATCGCGGGTCGATGATAGACATCTATGTTGGGCTGGGAGAAAATAAATATTGGCAAATACCGTGCCGAAAATGCTTGCCTTCTGAAATAACTATTATAACGATTAACCTTTCCTGGCCACACACACACACACACCCTACACATACACTTGCATCCCATAGGTGCACACGCGCACACAAACAGACATATGCGTATGTATAGATGTGTCGTACGTGAAATATCAAAATAATTTACGAATTATAATATATGCATATATACATTGATATACATGATATATTACATGACATTATTGTAATTTATTTGCGCGAACTCAATCATTTCAATTTATAAATATAATTATATAACTTATATTTATTACACAGTCTTGCTGCATGAGAAAAATTTTCTACGGAGATTTGATTTTAAATTGTCATTATATTAATTATTCTTTCTGTATACGTTATTGGCTATCAAAGTTTATTTTAAAGCCAAAGTCTATATAGTTTACGCTAAGTGTTAATTACTTAACGGTTTCGAACTATTAAATCATTCATAAATAAGATAATATGTACGGATTGTTTATAAATTATTATTATCATTATATATATATATATATATATGTATAAAATTAAAATTAAAAATGAATATCGAATTAATATTTATATTATGTCTTCAACATTATTGTAATATAAATTTTT